AATTGTAAAACGATTATTTTATTGAAGAATGTCATCTAATTAATTTTAGTTTTCCTAAATTAAATAGTTTTGCAAAATTAAAATTTTAATATTTCTTTCTTCTCGTGTGTCTGGTTTATTCGCGCAGAAAATGACTTTTATCGAAGCAATCTTTCATATTCTAGACAAAGCATCATTCAAATTATTTCTCGCTTTGAAATCCCAACATAATAGCAATTTAGTACGGATATAAGAGATATTCTCTAGAGAATCCATTTCATTTGGCAATGGGACAAGAAAAGAAGACAACGAACAAGAGATTATCATTGATCAAACTACTAATTTTTGTTTTTTGAGGACGAGAAGAAGAAAAAAGAAAGCCTTTCGAATTAATCGTATTATTTGACAATAGATTTTTAAAGAATTGTTACAGATAGAAAATGTGCTTACCGCTAGAAACGACAATGTTTATCTCCATGACTGCATGATTACGTTGATATACGTAAGGGACATAACGGACTTTTAACCAATCAGATAATCCCTCTTTAGCATGGTCGCTCGGTAGTCGACACTATTCATTTCTGCTTTCGGTGCCGTTCGATGCTTACGTACATGCGCAGTCGTTTCAATGTCCCAGATACGTTGTTTTTCAATCAGACATTTTAGCAGACTGTCGCTAGTGACCATTGGGACGGAGAAGCCGATCCAAAGGGGCAAAGTCGACGTCTCTCTGTTCTAAAGTCGTCTACTCCGATATCAAGTAAGTCTTGCCCTGCGGGTGTCACTGTGCTTTGCGGATGTAGTGGTTGCTGTATTTGACTAGTGATGTTTGCGTTGACGTTAAGCTACACTATATATCGGTTACTTCAACTCGATTGGAAAACACGAATGCAGAGGTAGTTTTAATTTCGATCGATCTAAAGCAAAACAAAATATTTTACTACCCATTCTATAGATAATAAGGTCAAGGCTGATAACTTACTTCCCATACTAATGATCAAAATTAGCAAAATCGATCAAATTTTTATGTAATATAGAAAACTGTGTTACTTGTTTCCCGCTAATTTTCTTAGGAATGGTGTATTAGCATACAACGTGTTAACCTTGTTTTTATCAATAATTAATATCTGTTTTTCCTCTTAAAGTATTAATAACTTTGATATAATCGTAATGATTGTAATGAATTAATTGATGTAAATACGAGTTTTCTATAGTGTAGCATTATGAGATTGATTGATATCCAATTAGTGTTCGTATTAATCTTAAAAGCATTCTTAAGAACTTTAAGAAACTATTGACCTTAACCAATTCAAGCGTAGAATATAAATTTAAACTAGAATGTCACAGCTTTCTAAAGGCTATAGATGACATTTCGGATGTTTAAATAGTAGTTTTCCACTTAAATAAATTATGTCTAAACTTCAAACTCTTCTAAAACTCTTAAGTATACGTGTAAAGAATCTCGAGAGTTCATATTTTAAAATACTTTTAATAGTTTTACATAATATTATACCTTAAGTTAAATCCAAAAATTGATTTTGTGTAAAAGGTTGTTGAGAATATTTAATAAATGTCAATCAGTATCCTATTTTTGTCATTTGAAATAATTCATTGGTAAAGAAACTAACAAAATGATTTCATTCTACATTTATCAAATGTTAATAACACTTTGTCTATGTGATAAGAATAAGAATAGATATTTTATACTATTGTCAAATCCATTCATAAATTTTTATGAAGCATTCCCGGAAATACCTAATAATAAAACTTTAACATTGTTTCCTTTAATTAATATCCGAACGAGAAAAGTTATAAGACATTGTTTAAACATCGTTCCTCATCCTACTAATGTAAAATTAATTTGTATACATTTAATTATTATTATTTTCTTAGAAACAATCTTATTTTTAATCTTTATATTTATTTAAGCTGACAAAATGATGTGAACGGTAAGTACTTAATTCAAAAAAGAGTAAATTCCTAATATAGGTCAATTGTTTTCTTTGTTTTTTTTTGAATTTCAAGAGATACTGTAACAACAATCTTTGTAAATTAAACCTTAAAATCAAAGACTTCCTGACTTTTTGACATTTTATAAAGCGTAGAAAAGTCAGATTTCCTGACAACATATTTTATAAATTGTGATTTTTATTTTTTATAAAATTAAATTATTTCATTGCTATTAACATATATTGAAGGATTTTTAAAGAGATGATCTCATTATATGATTGGCTATGAGCCAATGTTTGCTTTATGTGATTAATTGATCGCCTTAAGCAACAACTGTATTCTGATGATAAAAGCACGAAATACAGTAACTGTAATAAAGGTTGCACACGCGTTGTAAAGAAATTAAAGTAATCTTTCTCTTCCGTAATTATAACTTTTTAAAACCCTTTTGTAACACTTTAAAAAATGAAAAGGGAAATACATATAAATTCAATTATACTAAATGCCCAAGACTTTTGACAACGTCTACAATTTAAAAGATGTATAAGCGATCATTTTGCCAAAGGTTCCTTAATAAAATAAAATTATCAATTGCATTTCTGCATATTAAATTCATTTTTTAAGATTCAGCTTTTTCTCTTCGTAGTTTTCGAAAAATTCATTGGTTAAAATGAACTTACAACAAAATCGATGCAAAAAATTTTTAGTATTTCATAATAGAAATGTATTTATCATTATTTAAAATCTATTCCTATGCACTAAATGACATTTTTTAAACATTTATTAATTTTAACGAATCATGAAATAATTTATTAGGGAGAAAATTATAATTTATACAGAGCGTTAGGCTATATTATTTTTTAATTGTATGTAAATAATGAATATGAAAATTGTAGAAAAGTATAAAAGTATTTTCGCTGTTCATAAGTTGCATTGGAAATGTTTTAAGATTTATATCTTAAAGCTTTCAAGAAAAGGAGACAGAAGTATTTTTTGTCAATAAACACGCATTTTCGGTATTATTGGTAATATTGGGGCAAGAGAAAAGGAAGCTGACCAATAAACCATTCTACAAATATTATCGATAACTTGCGAAAAACTGTTGGATAGGAAGAAATGACATTCGAATGAAGACAAAAGTCGGCACTAAGTTAAGAATTGATGGAAACTAAGTTTATAGCTCAATCAAAAAGAAAAGTAATGTTTATTTTTATGACCAACGTAGAGACTGATTGTAACTTACCTATTTAGTTGTTACACCGCATGATAATTCGATTAGAGAAGGAAGACATTGGTATATCTTTATTACAAATTATAGAAAATGTCTGCTATATCAAGTGTTTCCGGCACGTATGTGATCCATTAGCTCGGGTCACGTTATTTCTGTCTATTCAGAACTGTCCCTTAGGATTTCGGTTTCTCTAGCAGTAATCCTGTCGTCCTTAGGCTTCTCAGGCGTGACCGGAATCTTAATCTCAGGAGAGGTGAGTTAGCACAGCACTTTTACCAAGAAGTCTTTCCTGTTATACTTAAGCTTCTAAGATGTAACGACTTTATAATTTTATGGTTGATTTAGAACGAATAAGCTTTATTAAAGTTTAAAGTTATGCATTAATCGTATTAAATCTCAGAATTAAATTAATTTTATATCAATATCTAATCATTCTTAAATGATATTTTTATTTCCACGAAAGTATTATTCATCAAATGCATTTAAACGTATAATTTACCAATATTTACATCAAGATATATATTATAAAATTTTTAATTATCGAATAAAATAGCTTTTTGAACATATTAAATTACATTATTGTGATATGAAGCGTTTATATATTTATACAATTTTAAATATATAACCAACAAAAAATTTCATGAAATATGCCAATAACAATTTATCTTCTGAGCTAAATTCCACTACTAATTGGAAGAAACCACAATAGGAAAATCATAGAATCATTGGGAAATACCTATCTTTATTTTGTGTCATTTATTTTATGGGGTATGAAGCTCCCTAGACACTAAAAAAGACACTATATTCAGTCATAAATGTTCAGTATCACGACTTACAAATAAATTTTATAATTTATTATTCGATATTTTCTTCAAATGTCGGAGGACCGTTTCATTCTATTTTTAATTCACAAAAATATTTTTTAGTTTCATAAAATTAATAAAATAAAATAATAGTGAATTTATTTATCATAAAGCGAACTTCCTCTATATGTAATTAATCAGAAAAAATAATTACGTTATTAGTACCTTTTTAATTATAATAAAGAACTAGATATTTAACAAAATATTAATTAAAACAGATATCATTTCATTGAGATACACTTAAATTATTCATCTGCTTAAGCGATCGACCGTTTTGGCTCAAATTGCTGAATGAGCAATTCGTTTCTTGCATGAATGAATTATGAACTATTAGTACAAAACTAAAAATATCAATTAGCAATTCGAATATTTTTTAATATACAACAGTATAAAAATTAAATGAAGCCATATTGTAAGGATTTTATATGTATTTTTAATACTATTGTATAATTCCTTTTCTATTTTAATAGTTAACTCTACTTATTTCCGTTACAGTAATTATGATTTAAATAGCATTTTTGTGTTTAATAATACTATTTAACATTTTTATGATTAATTTTGACCTTTTTAGTGTAGTATTTATGCTAATTCAGCGTTGAATAATACGCTATGTAGTATGATGGTGTTATCAATGCGATAGCATGAAATTATTGATGAACTTATATAAAGCCTAGAAATTCTACAATAAGAAATAGCATATATAATTTATAATTGGAGCAATCATTACGTGAATATATATAACACAATATTTTGAATCTAAATTATTGAAATTAGTTATTATAGTATAATACTGAGTACTCCGCACATGAAAGCCTTCGGCTGTCCAACTTCGAACTTTCGTGTCACTTCGCTCTGTCTCATATATATGTTTCAATTTATTTTAAAACAATATTAATTATATATATACATTATAATTAATTAATTAAAAATTTAATAATAAATAACTGATNTATAATGTTTTCTTTTAAATAGGTTTGTCACTTTTGGAACGCTTGATGAATATAGAGGAAGTTTATGGACGCAAACAAAATGTGTACAACAAAGAAGTACTTACAAAATTATTAAAAAATTATCGAAGTCATCCATCCATATTGAAACTTCCAAATGAGTTGTTTTATGACAATGAATTGCAGGTGAGAGATTTAACAAATTAATTAGCATTTTTTTAAAACTTTCTGCCCTTGAGCACTAAGAGGGTCTTTTTTCATACCTCTTGTCAGTGCCGGATTTACATAAGGGCAGTGCCCAGGGCCTCCACGAAACTATGTTTAAACATAATTTCTTTTTTTTTACTATATATTTAACTACTGTGCATATATAAATTTGACTTGTGTAAGGTTAACTTGCATGAAAAAAAAATTTTACATAGGTATTTTTCAAATAAATTAAAATAATTAGTTTTTACACAATAAATATATGTATGTTTACAATAACCTTATTTTAAAATGAAATTTACAACTTCCTACAGTTGAAATCTTTAAAATACTTGAAATATCACACGATTATTTATACATGTTCAAGTTTGACGCAGACAAGACCATTCTAGCACTGCCTACAATGTACTAGTTATTTGCCTACTCTTAAAGAGGGGTCCCATCCTTATTTGTGCCCATGGGCCTCTGATTGTTAAATCTGGCACTGCCAATTGTGGATTCAGAAGGCCCACAATGAGGGCAACCAGATGCCCAATGTATGTTTGGTTTTATTCCATTAAGGCAACTCAACATATGGGCAATCTGTAGGGGAAAAATGCCTCCTAAGAGGCCTTTTATGATAAACTGGCCCCCATGTAGACGTTCCTGACATGAAAAAAACCTGGAAAACTCCATGTGGCCAGCCTATTAACAAGATGTGAACCCACGACCAACAGTGGTTTTATCCACTCTGTTATTGTGGGCTCCCAACATATCAAGACAGACTGCATATGAAAAATCCTGGGGGGAGTTGATGGCCTGGGTTCAATCACATGCCTTAACCATCTCTGCTATCTCACCTATCAATTAATTAGCATTAGCTCATCTTCCAGAAATAATTTAAGTAGAGAATAATAACTCAATTATTGTCACAAAGAATTTTAACATATGAATTTGTTTCTTTTCTAGCCATGTGCAGACAAAACTGTGTGTGATTTATTCTGCAATTGGACATATTTACCATCAAAATGTTTCCCAATTATATTTCATGGTGTAATCAGTCAAGATGAGAGAGAGCCAAATGATTCGTCCTATTTTAATCCCAAGGAAATTTCAGTTGTTGTGAATTATGTTGAAAAATTACTCGAATCTATAGGAGATCTCAATTTGTCTCCAAAGGATATAGGAATTATATCTCCTTATAGGAAACAGGTGAAAATTATAATTAGTTTACTCATATTTATACAGTTGGAATGAATATAATAAAATTAGCATAATTATTTAATTTAATTTAATAAATTTAGGAATACGTCTTAATTTAATTTGCAGATGCAGACGTTTGAGCCCCTTGGCACATTTAATTCCGAAAAATTGCCACTTGTTACTCAAAATTTAATTTAATAAATTTAGCAATACGTCTTAATTTAATTTGCAGATGCAGACGTTTGAGCCCCTTGGCACATTTAATTCCGAAAAATTGCCACTTGTTACCCAGAAAATATTCATAAATATATAATTGCTTTTGCACATTTCTCATACTATTAAATCAATATTTACTTAGCATATATGATCCTTTAAATTATGATGTAATATTTAGAATTTAGGAACTAAAGCTATTTCACGCAGCTCTTAGGCATGCTAACAAATCTCCATTTACCAAGAACAAACCAACGTTATGTCTCAATTAAATTATTTGGAGAATCACATTTCACTATAATTCGGTTAAATGTTGCACATAGGTCTATCGTAACTTTAAATTACAGTTAAATTAATTATAGCATTAAAAATATANTATTGGTGAGAAAGTATATGCGATGATTATTTAGTTTTAACAAATTAAAACTAAACAATCATCTCATAAAACACAATTTAATGCATCGTAGAATACATAAATAAGTCTAAGCGTAAAATACAATAGTCGAAATAATGTGTTAAACATAAACAGTTGTATATTTACTTATTTTTTAAATGAATTTACTAATTAATTTAAGCGTTTTACGATTACTTTTATCGTTTAAATATCATAAAAATTGTAATTTAATAGGCTGTAAGTAGTGATTACTACTTAAAGCCTATTAAATTACACACAAAAAATATTTAAACAATGTTATATTTATACTCATTTTCATTTAATTTCCATTAAATAAAAGTTACATTATATGAGGTAGATCCTGAACGATTAATTTATATTTAGACAAAATTAAATACATCCAATTTACTATGTTTATCATTTCAACAACACAATTGGAAATACATTACATTCGATATACTTTAATTTTGAGTTTAATTTTGTAGAAACTAAGTTTAAATAGGTATTTATTGAAAGAAAATAAGCTTGATTAAATTTCTATATTTTTGGATAACAGCTGTGAGTGTCTCGACTGTCTAGATGAGTTATAAAATTCCCTACTTATTAGGATAATTATGAACAGATGTAAATGACAGTTTACAATTAGAAGTGAAAGTCACATTCTCTAAACTTATCAAACATGAAACTGTAAAAGATAAGTTATTGAAGTTTGATTTTATCAATTTAATCATATTAGAAAGAGAAGAGTTTCCAAGTTTATAATTTTTTTAAAGTCTTAATTAAGTTTAAGAAGTTACAGATATTTATCAAATTTAATTAATTAATTCGTTTTTTAAAAACTTCTTCTGTAAAAAAATTTAAACATGTTTATCAAAATTTAATTTAATAAATTTAGCAATACGTCTTAATTTAATTTGCAGATGCAGACGTTTGAGCCCCTTGGCACATTTAATTCCGAAAAATTGCCACTTGTTACCCAGAAAATATTCATAAATATATAATTGCTTTTGCACATTTCTCATACTATTAAATCAATATTTACTTAGCATATATGATCCTTTAAATTATGATGTAATATTTAGAATTTAGGAACTAAAGCTATTTCACGCAGCTCTTAGGCATGCTAACAAATCTCCATTTACCAAGAACAAACCAACGTTATGTCTCAATTAAATTATTTGGAGAATCACATTTCACTATAATTCGGTTAAATGTTGCACATAGGTCTATCGTAACTTTAAATTACAGTTAAATTAATTATAGCATTAAAAATATACTAGTACGAAATATAGTATTAAAAATATAATGGTACAAATTTATATCTTTTATTAAGAAAATATTATTAGATTCTATAGATTTTATTTTATATTTCTATCTAATATTAATTAATAAAATATATACATAAATAACTTGAGTATTTTTATTTACTTATTTTATTATTTTTTTTGCATTTTACTGAATTTCTATTCAAAATTTAAAATTTAAATTTTCGATTTTTCTTTTTCTAGCGATTATTTATATTACAACAGTATTGAATCTATGAGAAAATGGCCTCGTATTTCCAATTTTATCTGTTCTTTGAGCGATAAGATGCACATTGTATGTAAGATAAATACTGTATGTGTAGGTCCTCCATTATTTTCCTCTTTTGAAAAACGGCGCAAAACCCGGAAGACATGAAAAATTTCCATCATGGGAAATTTCCGCACGCCATATCTCGAGATTTCCTTTATCCCCAAGGTTATATGAAGCATACAATATAGACTATAGATGTTGACAAATAGAGGATGACTTCTACCATCCTAAATATTTTAAATTATTTTCTTAGAAACATGAAGGAAAATAGTGGAAGTTGTCACTAACAGTTTTCAAATTTCAAAAAACTCAACGAGTGAATTTATTGATCAAGTAAAAACTTTTGAATTTTTGGTTAAAATAGAAATTAATCGAATTTATATAAAAATTATAAAAGTAAAAAACAACGGAAAAAGTTTTAACGTATTTATATATTTATAAAACATATGTAAAATGTTTAAAGTATCAATTTAAATTGAAAATAATTCTACAAATTTTTAATTAATCAGTGATAAGGACGAATCGCCAATGAAGAAAGATATACTCGCTGTTAATTAGCCGTGGAGAATTGCTTTACCTTTCTTCCTGAGATTAAAAGATATCAAAAGCTTTGTCTTATTAATTAAATTTCTTTAGTCATATCCTTAGGGCCGATAGAAATGTCTCTTGATGAATAGAAAAGAATATAATAAACAATCAACAAACAACAGAGCGAATCACTTGCAATTTAAGGAATAGATTAATCTTAAAACTGTGTGAATAATTGAAATTTTAAATACTTTTAAAAGCTTTTCTTTACTAAACTTAAATTTGAAGTGTTCTTAATAATTCTGGGAAATAATTGCTTTATTCTTTATAAGATTTTACTTTCTTATCATTTAATAAATTGCATTAATTTTCTTTAACTTATATCTTTTAATTGATTGTTAAAATGAAAAAAAAACACCTATAACAAATGTTGGCCTATTAATAGAAAAACTAAGAAAAAAACAGTTTTAATTGCAAAAAAGAGATAGAAAATATATAAACACATTAGATTTAATACTTAAAATGATATTTTATTAGGGAAAGACAATTCTAAAATTAGCAAGAAATTTGTATAAGCGTACAGACCGCATACACAAACAATCACCAAAGTCTTTGGATGTCTGCAGCAATATTTATTCTAGAAACGACGAGTTTTCCGAGATAATGTCAACATAGTGGATGAAAAGACATTTAATGGAGGCTCTGAATACAAACAGCTTCTCGTCCTGTTGCATATGCAGCGAACGATCTAAAGATCGATAATACTGTAGATCGCGCACACTCTGATTGCTTGTCCTTCACCTTCATGAAGTCACTCTAGACGGTTTCACTTTATAGTTTTATCAAATTATATTTTTACAAGTAAAGATGATACCTTGATTTAAAATCAGTTCAGTTTTAAATTGCCGCTAAGTAAACTGTCGTGTTTATTTTGGTTAATTACATGATTTATTCAAAAAGTCAAGCTCACATGCAGAAAAAAAATACCGGTTTACTTATGCTAGAGAATTAGGTAATTTCCGCATTTATAAATAAACGAATTTTTAATTATAACCTATATTAAATATAGATAAAAATCAGACCAAACTTTAATTAATTAATTTTAAAATGTTGCAATTATTAAGAACAGAAGCAAAATATTAATTAACGAATGTTTTATAACCTACCAGCAATAAATTAACGCCATGCGATAAAGCGCTGCTACTAAAGATTGCTACAAGTTTTTATCTTGAATTTAAACGTGTTCAACAAAAGTTTTAATAAACAAAAGATTAGTTTTACAAAATTTTTTCTTGCACAAAAAATTAATAATTACTTTTTGCACTGTTATTTATATATCTTTAGTCAATACAACGAATAAATATTGAATTATATAGCGTTAAAAACTTGTATATAAACTTTGAACAGAGGTTATTTTGATCTTGATCGAGTTTTATTGTTTTAAGCTAAATTTTTTATTTATTTTTATAATTTCTATACATTTTTATTAATGGTTTCGTATAATAATCATTTCTAATTTAATTCACTTTAGACAAATTTAATATATATTTATATAGGAAATAATTAGTTACGAAAATAAAATAAGGATAAATGATAATATTTTATAAATATAAATTAGTGGGTTGAAAGTAAAATAAGAGAAATTTTTAATTTTTCAGTAAAATCTATGCTTTTAATATCATAAAACGAATAACAGTACACTCGATAGAAGACAATATTTGTAAAGATGTTGAGAACGGTGGATTTTCCAAACAATGCTTTTCGTTTCCTTTTTCCAAAGAAAAATATATTTTCTACAATGTTAATATAGCAACAAAGTAGCAATGTTATAGAAATTATTTCTTATAACATTAATACCATATTTAAAAAAAAATTAATAATAGTGCTCGCGGGACGAAAATAGTTTTAAAAACCCCATCGTTATGCAATTGCGTGCGAACTGAAAGACCTTTTTTATTATATAGTTATCTTTGCATCAGTTTAAAATATTGTTAAATAGCCATAAAATTATAAATTTAACATCGTGTGATATATAAACATTGACAGCTGGATGGCCGAGTCAGTTAAGGTGTCAGCCATTCTGGAAGACCTGGGATTTTTCATGGGCAGTTTGTTTCTGATATTCGGACCTACTCCCTCATCACCGGCCACCCCCATTTTGGGCCTTGCTAAACCCTCGGCCGGTAAGGAGAAAAGGTCCTTTTAGATAGTTTGAAAAGAGTTTAAAATGATATATATAATTTTTAATATTTAAATAATTTGTAAAATAATCTTTTGAGACATTATATCAATGTACTTTGCAACAACATTTACAAAAATTAAATGTTCTACCAACAAATTTAGCTTGTAGAACATTATTGTTGATTTAACTTTT